CTCTATCTCTCTCTCTCTCTCCATTAATATGTTCGTTCATTTCTAAAATGCTCTTATGACTTAGGAATTAAACACTTATGGCACAAATATTTTCTCATCATGTTATATACTTACCTGTATAATGTGAGTGCAATGTTTTAATGTGTTTCACCATATTATATTTTTGCCATAAGATTATAGGTGTAGTAATGATTTCAAAAGAATTTTATTTGTTAATTTAAATTCAAAAAGGTGATAATGGACAAGGACCTTTAGAGTTGTTATTAAAATTTTAAGGTATATGTAAATTATTTAGTGATTGTTTTTACTGTATTATCAATTTGATAAATTGTGTGTACTCACGAAAAATGTTAAAAAATGAAATTTATTTTTTATCAATAATTGCAAAAATCAGATTTTTGATTTTAAAATGTAAATTACAGTTTTATTTATAAAATTATGTAAAATAAATTTCTACACATCTATACAAATATAACAATACAAATATAAATTCATCAGAATAATATTTAAACTCAATTAAAATCTTTTACTTTAAAATTTAATACAGACAAATTTAATAATAATGACATTTACTAAAATATTATTTATAACTACTATTACATAAGTGTGTACATAAATGTAGTAAAACAGTACAATTAGTATAAAAACAAATTATATAATATTAATCTTTGAATTTAATGATGACACTCATAATAATTATATGCGTAACAATTATTGAGTTAGAAGTTTGCTATATTTTTCATGAACAGACCAATGGTATTTTCGTTGAGAGTTACATAGGTCATATTTAGCACCGAAGGTATATATCAAAATATAATCCCCCTTGAGATAAGATAAATTATTACAAATTAGATTAATTTATTAAGATTAAACAATAATGTTTATCAAATTATTATTATTATTAACAATTTAAATACATAGTAATTAATTGTTAAACAATATATCATAATGAATTATATTTGTTTAGATTAAGTACTTAGTTTTGGTTAAGTATTACGTTAATTAAGTATTAATAAGGTAGTATAGTTAGTTGTAGTAACCATTAATTTTAATTAATATAAATCAGCTATCAATTAATTATTGCAAATAGTCAAACCAACATGTAAGTTTAGCGGTCTTGATAAATAGTTTCTCAAATGCCCAGCGCACGTAAAATAAGCCGCCAGCAGCTATAATGGTATATTTGTCCGTAATATTGAGCCCAAACATACAACTGGCCACCACCATGATCACTCCCGTGTGAACAATAATATTCATGATGGCAGTCATCGATGGTATCAGTGATGGCGCCATTAATACCACACTTGATGAGCGTCTTAACATTGTTNCCGCCAGCAGCTATAATGGTATATTTGTCCGTAATATTGAGCCCAAACATACAACTGGCCACCACCATGATCACTCCCGTGTGAACAATAATATTCATGATGGCAGTCATCGATGGTATCAGTGATGGCGCCATTAATACCACACTTGATGAGCGTCTTAACATTGTTGACATTATTTATCGTGATTATAAACTGATTATATTGCATATAACTTTAAAATCAATGCTCAACACTTCACTTTAGCTGTGTCACTAAAAACTGAACCGAGTAATAACTTTCACTATCTTATAACTAGGTAATTGTGACAAAATAAAGTGATGTTAGCAACTAGATGTATTGCAACATGGTAAACACAATTAAACGATATTTAATTCTGCGAAAGCTATTTTTGTATTCAATTTTACGACATTCCCCTAATAATGAATTTTCCTAATAATAAATTAGGAGATTATGAAATATAACATATAACATAGACCAAATGTATCTAAATATTTGAGAAAACAATTCTGTATAATTTCCTTACTATAATAATAATGTGCAAAAAACCAAACGATCATCATAAATTTAAATTCAAAAATTACACACTTATAATTTAATAGCATTTACATAAATATTTAATAATTTTTACAATTATTGTAAGTTATAAGCAAATTTAAAAAAAAGTGAAGATACAATATAATTTAATAATTATACAATTTTAAATTAAATTAACTAGAGTATAATGCCAGTTAATTACTAATCGTAAATTAAACGAAAAGATGATTAGTAAATAGTGTTTAAAGCTGCATTTAGTTCTAAATAAATTCTATAAAATTATATAATTTACTGTCAATTAGGATAAGCAATAAAATTTTTAAATATTTGTAAAACATTTTCCAATTAATTAAATTTTTATATATGTTGAATAAAGGTTATTATTAGTAATACATTTTACAGCATATTGCAATATCATCAGATAATAACACAAAATAACATTGTTACCAAATTAATTGATACACAATGTGTTAACTTTATTTTATTGTCATAATAAATCACATTAATAACTTATCAACTAATTGGTTGACTAATTGATATACATTAAACTTGTTACTAGTTAAAATTTGATCAAGATTTGATTTATATAAACAACTTTAGTTTCAATACATAATTTGTTTGTTATCAACGTATGCATAAAAGAGAGGTTATGTGTAATTTATTGTAAATATTTAAACCAAAGGGAATTGCATTTAACGGACTTAACATTTAAACCAAAATTAGTTTTATCTTTGGGCTCAACAGTAAATTCATAATACGGAGCGATAACTGTATTGTCGTTAACCGTATAATACGGCCGCCAATCGGCGCCCGACTGTTTGGATGGCTGTCCATTGCGTGCAAACTCGGTAAACACATCCATCATTTGGGCCGATGTTTGGCGTTCCCGGCGGTCATACCTGTCGTACTCTTGAAACGGTAGACCAAACACGGGATAGATATCATCGAAATGACAGACACCCATCCAATCAGAGCAAAACAACTGATGCCCGGCCGTAGACTTGGCGTTATAGTAGTACTCGTATACACGACTCTTCGGGTGCCCGGAGTGTATATATCGGGCAAACAATTTGGTCGGACACGTGACCCGATAGTCGCCCAGCACTCGGCCGACTGTCCGCAACAATAGTTCATAATGTGTCACATTAGACATACCATTGAAGTAGGTGTTGATCACATGCTGACTATTAGCATCAAGATCACCCAACTGTGTCTTATAGCTCCTTATAATTGCCAACACGTGTATAATGGCATCGCTGTATGTAATGGGGTTTGGGTAGAATTGATCAAATACACCATTGTCAAAAATGGATGGCAAAAACAGACTGCCCTCGTTGTCAACGGTGCCAATCATGACATCCATATCTTTCTTATAGTCGCCCGACTTTAACATTTCAATTGGGTTTTGGGGCACAAACTGGCCGTCAATCATGAGCTCCATTTCGCAAGCACTAGACGCCAGAGCCGGCAGTTTCAGCAGGTCTTCAGCCGACAGCTTCTTCAGACACTCAATCATCGGCGGTGTAAACGTTTTGCCCGTTGTGTCCGCTTTATCGCCGCAACCGATAGCGACGGCCCGTTTGCGCCACACTTCCTCGGAGGTGGCGGCGGTGCACATGGTGTTAGTGGTGGCGCCCGACATCATGATAGCCCTCTGGAACAGGTGGCGAGTAATGGGCGACACAATGTGTAGGCTAATGGCGACGGCACCGGCCCCCTGACCAAACAGTGTTATGCGTTTAGGATCGCCACCAAAATAGGCTATATTGTCGACCACCCACTCCAGCGCCAGCGACTGATCCCATAGCGCCATATTGCCCGGCGCCCCGTCCGCGTGCGCGGCACCCGTGTATAGTAAGCCAAATGTGTTTAACCTGTAGTTAAATGTGACCACCACTACGTCGCCCATAGCCGACAGCACGTGTCCTGAGTACCACTTTTCAACGGCCGACCCGAACAACACTCCTCCTCCGTGTATCCAAAACATGACCGGTTTTAACGTAGTGTTTGATTCCGGCAAAGCTGGCGACCATACGTTTAGGTACAGACAGTCTTCACTCATATCGGCATTCAAATAGTAATTGTGTAGTTTTGCGTGAATACACGCTTTGGGCCATTTGGTGGCGCCCACTGGTTTAGGCCAGGCCTCTCTCACCGGCATAGGCTTTTTGAACCTCAAGTCACCGACTGGTGGCTCGGCGTATGGTATGCCTAAAAA